GATGTATTTGAATGGTAAAAAATAAACTAAAATTATTTTTGCAGGTTCTTGAAAATGGCTCCTGAAGCCGAAACGTTGAATAAAGCATAGAGGAGATAAAAAAACTGTTTTTTTTGTGACCTTTGGCCTAAAATAGATATATGATAAATTATGAGAAAATGGCACCAAACCTGAAGGATGTGACTAGAAAATTATATTTATAGTGTTTTTCTTATTATCGTTTTCAAAGTTATTATTCATTCGTTTTCTTATTGTTATATATATATATTTATACTAGTTTAGAGTTTCTTTTCGTGTTTTCATATTACCGTTATACTTTTTTGTTTTCAATTCATTTATTGGACAGAGATATATTTTTTTCTTTATTAAATATACATATACCAAAAATGGAATCCTCGTCAAGGAAATGTGCAAATTGCTACAAAACATTTGCTAGCCATAGAGAGTGCATGGCTCATGAATTATCATGTATATATAGTCAGGAATTTCCACAACTAGCCTCGTGCATATGCGCCAAATGTGGCAAATCTTTTTCTAGATCTAATAACAGAATACGATACGAGGCTATTTGTGGGGATTCTTCTCAAACCCAAGATTTCTTAAATAATATTAAGTTGATATGTTCATTTTGCGGAAAATCGTTTAATAGAGAACAAGAGCGTGCAAGGCATGAAAAATCGCGTAAACACATGTCCCGATTTGATGATTTTAATAAACAATGTGAAATAATTTGTAGTAAATGTGGACAGGTGTTTACAAGCAAAGATAAAATGTTAAGGCATGAAATCGAATGTAAACATCGAAAAAACCCGACACAGTAGGTTTTTCAGAGTATGAGACGGCTTTTAAAGAGAGGTTGAGGTCTTATTTTATTAGATGCGACGATAATTATGACCTATCTAAATTTTTTAATAGCATCAGAAACGATGTTTTTATTAGAATAAATGCTTCCCTCCGAGAACATAATTCAATTAAAATAAATATGTGGGCTGATTGCGTAATGATAAATCAGTTAGGGGAAACCATCGAGACGGCTTATAAAACACGCAATATAGCAATTTTTAAAGATACAGAGATAGAAAAAATAATGGATAGCGGCTTTCATAAAATCATTTATGAAATGGGAAACATGGAAACTAAGAAGTCGGGAGGAAACTATACGTAATAGAGGGGTTACGATTAAAAGTCAACCAATTCAAACCACTTCGAGGTAGCTCTTTTATAGAATTACCTGACAAAATTAAAAATAAAAAAGCTTTTATAAATGTACAAAAGCGAGATAATGTTTGTTTTAAATAAGCTATTTCATCTAAATTTGTAAGCAATGACCCAAAGCGTGTTTCAAGTTATAGACATATACCACATAGGTACGACTTTACATGTGTTGATTTCACCACCCCACTTCATCAAATAAAAATGTTTGATGCATCAAATAATATTTCTATCAATGTTTTTGCTCTTGATGAAAAAAATAATGTCTACCCTCTCAAAGTAGTAAAAAAAGAATTAGAAGATCACAGAGATCTCTTATTATTAGATGGAGAGGGTAAGCAGCATTATGTTTATATTAAAAATTTTAATAAATTAATTGATTCTCGAATTTCGAAAAATGAACATCGCCTAAACATATGCAAAAGATGCTTCACCCATTTTTATTCAGATATAAAATATAATCAACATTTTACTCAATGTATCGAGAACAAACCTGTAAGGATAGAGTTGCCGGGGGAAAATAATTTTATTTCCTTCAACCATGTTTCAAAGAACTTTGAAGGTACCCTATGTTGTGTAAGCCGAGTTCGAGTGCTACCTGGAACCCGTAGCATCTTGTCAGCACAACCCACTAGATAAATATACATTATTAATAAGTTCATAGACCCATTTCCTATTGCATTTACCTTAAAAAAGATGATAGTATAATGGATGTATACGATGATCAAGGGACAGAACCAATAATATATAGAGGAATCGACGCTGCAGAACAATTTATAAAAACATTAAAAGAAATAGCCCTTAAAATAGAAAGAGTTTATAAAATGAAAATTCTTATGAATCCTTTAACTGATTCGGAGATAGAAACATTTAACCAGACCTCCATCTGTTATATGCGTGACCTGCCATTAAATGGTGACAAAGTACGCGATCAGTGTCATCTAACAGGGAGATATAGGGGAGTTGCTCACAACAACTGTTATTTGAGATTTCAAAACCCCTTTTCCTGTATTTTTACATAACATGAGCGGGTACGATAGCCATTTGTTCGTGAGGGAATTGTGGTATGACGAGAAAAGAATCGATATGATTTCTAATTCAGAGGAAAAATACATAGCTTTTTCAAAATATGTTAGTAACAATTTTAAAATCAGATTCGTGGATTCATACCGATTCTTATCCGACAGCCTTGATTCTCTCGCGAAAATAGTTCCAGATATACCCGCTATTAAATCTTTGTTTAGAAGGGAAGAGGTTGGGGTTTTAAAAAGAAAGGGGGTTTTACTTATGAATAAATGACAACCCCCGAAAAATATTCAGAAACACAATTACCCCCTAAAGAAGCATTTTTTAGTAACCTTTCGCAGGAGCATATAACAGACGAAGACTATAGACATGCTCAAAAGGTATGGGATACGTTTAAATGTAAGACGCTGAGTGATTACAACGATATATATATGAAATCAGATACACTATTACTCACATATATTTTTTAATCTTTCCGACAAATAACAATAAAGTCACATAAATTAGACCCAGCGCATTTCTTTACATGTTGTACCATTGTCCATAGAGTTTTAAAATTTAGACAAAGTTGTTGGCTGAGAGAATATATAATACAGAATTAAGAAAAAAAAGCAATAAACGAGTTCGAAACAGATCAAATTAAATTATATATAAATGCTATTTTCGGTAAGACAAAGGAAGACATAAGAAAAAGAATTTACATCAAATTAGTATCGAACGCCAACACTTAAGAAAAATTAATATGGCCATGCCAATTTAAAATTAATGTATATGGATACCGATCCTTTTATTTATAATATTAAGACCGATAACTTATACAACGACATTTTAGCAATGAAAGATGGAATGGATACATCCAATTATCCAACACATCCCTGTTTTTCAATAAACAACAAAAAAGTAATGGGAAAATTTAAAGACGAAACTAAAGGTCAACCTATTTTAACTTTAATAGGGCTTAGGCCAAAAATGTATTTTATAGATATTGGGGTGAAAGATATAAAAAAATTAAAGGGATAAAAAAACATGTCGTAAAAAAAAAAAATAACTATTGAAGATTACATGACCTGCCTGAGAGAGCATAAAACATTTAGGCATAAAATGCAACTAATTAAATCTCATTATCATGAAATAAAGAAAAAGTTGTATGCAATAATGGTCCAGTTTATTTTTCGGATAGACAAATATACATAGACAAATCGAATAAAGCTAGAATTACATCCCCTTTCTTTGAAGACTATACCATGTGGTTGTGCCAAAGAGGAGTTTTCGTTTAAATAGTCCGCGTTACGGCAAGTGGTGGGTGCAGATCTAAAAGATAAAGAAAACTCTTAAGCCCTGAGAGGAGCTGGTTGTATCTGCCCATTCCACAAGCAGCCACCACGGGGCAAAAACCATCTCCAGCACGAGAAGCCACCTACGGAGAGCTCTCGACGTAAAAAGATGTGGGCTGGCATATAGACGGTAAGCTGATTTTTTTGCACAATCATTAACCTACTAATCCCTTGAGATACAGTCCACTGCTTAAAAATTAGAATGTTACCTTAAGCTTAAGTATTCTGAATGTTGGCTTATTGAAACTTATGTGAGTTGTTTTGCCATAATTAGAGAGTTGCATAAACACCACGTCTTAATAAATATGTGGTTTATTAACGTTAGACACTCCTACAATTATTATTGTGAACTATTAAAGCACAAATTATCATCCTTCAGATCCCAACCGTTTGATACCTACCTTATTTCTCTCTCTGTTCACGACAATTCCCTCTGGAAAACCAACAAAAAAATCCTAAAATCCCATAACATTTCCCACCCCCTTCGTCGATGCGATGACTCCTGGGCCGCGTCTGATGAAAAAAAAGCTGAGAAATTCGCCTAAAGGTCAACCTATTTTAACTTTAATAGGGCTTAGGCCAAAAATGTCTTTTATAGATATTGGGGAGAAAGATATAAAAAAATTAAGGGATAAAAAAACATGTCGTAAAAAAGAAAATATCTATTGAAGATTACATGACCTGCCTGAGAGAGCATAAAACATAAATATGTGGTTTATTAACGTTAGACACTCCTACAATTATTATTGTAAACTATTAAAGCACAAATTATCATCCTTCAGATCCCAACCTTTTGATACCTACCTTACTTCTCTCTCTGTTCACGACAATTCCCTCTGGAAAACCAACAAAAAAATCCTAAAATCCCATAACATTTCCCACCCCCTTCGTCGATGCGATGACTCCTGGGCAGCGTCTGACGAAAACAAAGCTGAGGAATTCGCCAGACACCTCATACCATAAAAGTAGAAGAATTCCTCTCTTCACCGATTCCACTCTCCTTACCACCTAAAGCAGTTAATCCATCTGCGGTAAAATGTCACTTACAAAAATTTCCTCTCCGTAAATCTCCTGGATACGACCTCCTACCCCTTAACTTTTATTTATAAGTAAATAAATATACGCACATCCATATATTCAACTTAATTTTCAAATTTTCGTAACCTTAATAATTACATAAAAATTAATTATAACGCTAAATTCATGAAGACTGCAATAAAAATTATAGAGGGCGCAGGACCCAGAGGCCACATGCGGCTTTGGGGCCGCTGGTTCCCTATCTGTGTTCTATGTTAAAAGTGGCAGGTGTCTCCAAATTAGTGGGCAGCGACCAGCTACTAACGTACAGACTGTTAAATTTTCTTATTTATTCCAAATGATGTAATGATAACTATACTCCACTTTAGCATTACTTAGACCTATTATTAATCAACAATATAATGTACTCACGTTTGAGTTGTAAGTGTGCACGGTCTGGAATCTTTCATCACCTGCGTATGTTGCAGCTCCAACCGTGAGCAGATTATAGTCCTTCCTACGGATCCAGGAGATCTGTAAAAAAAGAAAAAGGAAACATAATACTTGGATTAATGATAGCTAAGACGAAAGCGAAAATGATAAGCAGAATACCCGCGTATAAAAGAGTAGAAAACATACTTCAAGAATAAAAAACCTGAACCACTACAACCCATTTAGATTTTAGAGATCAGTACTTTGTTAGGGAGTACTGTTTCTAGGACGATGGTTGTGCAGGGAGCTGATCGGGCCAGGATTACGTTCAACCGCCGGGGGTTTTCCCTTATTTAATTAAGATTACCTACTTTATAGAGGCTGGGTGGTCCCAGGAGGGTTCCCGACTTAATGGTCAATCCACGGTTGATGACAAAATACTTGACATCAGCCGGATTCGAACCGCGGACCTTAAGCTTAGCATTCCAGTGCCTAACTGACTGAGATAATTGCTCCACTTTAGGAATGATTATTAAAACTAAATATATGGACAATAACATAATTAGTAATCGTGAACAAATATACAAGGATGCTAGGAAAGTTTTTCTACTAATAGTACTCAAATCATCAAGTACTACCCATCTCTACAATTTTGAATTAGGAATGGAAGCTCTTAATAACATTTATCAATTTATTTGATATTTTTTCAGAGTAGACATCATTATGCCAGGCAATTTATATTGAGGGTGAATATGCCGACATGGTCTTTGTGAACGCTTTTTGCAATGTTTCTGCTAATGCTTTGCCTCGTAAATATTCCGGTTGATTTTCAAATAAAGGATTACTATAAAAACGCTGCAAATTATTTCGCAATGGTTTATTATTTGCATATATATATATATATATATATATATATATATATATATATATATACACATAAATAGTAACATTTCCTTCCTAGTGACAAAGAAAAAGAAATAAAAGGTGATTCCAATTATTGGACCAAACATTTTTTTTTTAATCAGTAATATGCTATTTTACAAGAGACAGATTGTTGTAATACTCAATAAAGAAATAAAAAAAAAGTAATGTGCTAAAAAAAAAAAAAAAAAAAATAGCATTACTTCAGTAACACACTCAAAAACCAAAACAAAGATATAACCTTTGCAGTAGAACATATAAAAAACAACTGGACACCATATCTTTGCTCCTATTGTCCGATTTTAACGATTTTTTTTTTTTTTAGTAAATTCCATAAACTTTTAAATAATATAAGTTTGATTAAACTTATTATCCAGCAATACGATACATCATTTTACACCCATCAACTACCATAATTACACTTTTAATATTAATATTAATTAATATTAATAAATAAGTGTAATTATTTTTCGGACTGGTAATTTAGCTCATCAATGATATCGCATTAAAAAAAAAAAAAAATGTAAAGATTTTATTATTTACGAAAATATCATGCCGCGACAAAAAGTAATATATGATAGTCATTTGTTTTTCGATGAAACTTGACCATCAACTCAATGATTACCAATGATCGAAGTATCTATGTAATCTTTAGAAGTGATTTTGATAAAGAAGTATATTCACTCTTATTTTATTTATAAAGAATGAAATGAAATGCTTGCCTAAACTCTATGATAACATTTTGATATCTGATCACAGAGCTTATCTGGTAAGTAGTGCGAAGAGATATTTATTCATTAAAATATCGGGAGACGTTCATTTAAAAACAACCATAATACGTATAAATGTATAGTCATAGATAGCTTGTTTTTTTACATCCGTTTGTTGGCTAGCATCCACGTTCACCCTTCAAGAAGAACCCATGTTAATGTATTCTTTCTCCGTGGTGGGGAATATAGATATTTATTTTTTTATAAATTACTTCTATAATTGGCTAATTAAATTGTAGTCGAAATTGTAATTGTTAAATTCTAACAATTATATTTTCATAAATGAGCTAGCGAAGAGTCAGTTTAAAACTCCTACCTGCATTCATTTCATAGGTCTCGAATAATTTCACTACATGCCATATTCGCAATTAAATATCCATTGTATGTAAACTCAAACAAACTAAGCATCAACAGTGCGTTGGTGTTGATTTTAGAGAGCATTACGTACCAGAATAAAAGTTGCAAGCATTACATTATAATTTTAAATAAAAAGTACTTGTTCAATAGGTTCAATCTTTGACTAATAGCAATAATAATAATTTTTCTTTTATTTAAATAGTTGATTTTTTAAATAATTTAATCGATTATATAAAGGACAAGAAGACGCCCTTAACAGACCACAAGTAACAATAATAAATTACGGCAAAAAAGAATTCAAGCAGATCTGTAATTAGTAATGTAAATATTTCAGCCTTTCAGAGAGCAGAATGACTAACTCCAATTTCAACATTTTTTATTATCAACTTTAGTTAAAAATTTTACATCTTTATCCACAGTTCTATATTTCAACATAGCAATCACCTATTCTGTAATCAACTTACTCTGCTAATAGGTGCTATTTTGCATCTGGGATGTTGTGAATTATCAAAAACAAGACTGCATAAGACACTGCCCCAGAACAGTGCTTACCCAAAGATCAGAAAAATGGGCCCCCTCAATGACCGATGAAAGGGACCTCTAAACTTTTGAAAGGAAATTGCTCTAAGTTTTGAAGAGTTGAATAAAAAATAGCAAAGTGATATATATTTTTGAAGAAAATTTAATGTTCAACAACTTTGTTTCTTAAGACGTTTGCGTAAAATAAGAAGATAAGCAGTTGGCTAGTCAAATAATGATAAAAATGCGAGGCAAACAAATATTTCTTTAAATTATTGATTTTTTTAAATTAGTGAATTATGAGGACGCATATCTCGGAAATAAAACAAGACATCGATAATTGCAATTATGTTAGATTTAGTTTTCTGTAACCTCAGTATGAAATAAGACAATTTTTTTGCATAGAGCTAATGTATTCATATGCGGGTGAGAGGCTAGAGTTGGATGCCACCTTACAGAAAGCTTACCTCCGGTATAACAGGAAGAAGATACCAGTACACAGCGTATCGGCTACGGGAACCATTTAGAAGGGAGTAAAGCTGGGTATACTGAAGTGCACTACTCCTCCAGCATGGAGGAAAATCGAGAAATCTCGATTCGAGAAATAGCCGGGGATCCCTCTGGAGCTCGTCTTCTACGAGGATGAATGGACAAAAGGTCTCAAGTGGTAGAAGTTTGAAATACTCCCAGAGGAACAGCAGCGAATCTACGAGGAGCCAGGAACGTAGAAAAGCAATATGCGATAGGAAAGAGATTTATTGACAGTAATCGGCATTCATACAACACGACGTCTAGCAGAACGTATAACCCATCACTGCCGAAACCCCGTATACACAAAATGCCCCGTCAGGGGCGGTGTTAAATTTAAATGTTGGTTTAGAATTAATAGAGATTGTTTAAACTAGTTAGATAACATTTGTAAAAAAAAATTGAGGAAAATTGAATTGAAAGTGAAAATAAAGGAAGTTAATTAAAAATAATGAAGGTGAAGAATAAGGAAAAGCCAACTGACTGGACATGGAGGAGGAAGCGAAACAAAAGGGCATTCAGTAGGTTGGAGAATGAGGCAAGGAAAATGAAGCTATGCATGAACTAAAGAAAGACTAAGGTCCTTGTTTTGATAAAGATAACGAAAGGCTTAGCGAACCCGAAGGTTCGATGCCGACACCACCAATCGCTTATTACACACCTTCCTCCACCGTTCGCCGTCCAAACCCAGTCCCTTCAGATCGGCTTTAATGCAATCTTCCCACCTTCGCTTCGGTCTACCCCTCGGATGTTTACCATTCGGCACAGCAAATATTAATCTTTTAGGAGTTCTCTCGTTACTAAGCCCAACAACTTTACAAGTCCATTTGATTCGCCGCGATGAAATTACCTCAATTATATTACCCGGAAAGGTCCTTGTTTTAAGGAAGAAAAAGCTTGTCCATCCACCACAGCATTATGTCTTTGGAAACCACACTTTTCCAGCAGTATCAAACTTCACCTACCTCAGGTCCATAATTAACAACAGCTTTAACGAAGAGGAGGAGATAGGAGCTAGAATAATGGCTAACAACAGAGCGTACTTTTCTCTAGTGAGCCTTCTGAAAAGTAGATTGTTAAGTCGTACAACGAAGTTTAGGATATACAGAACGATTATTCGGCCAGTTGCAACATATGCGTGTGAAACATGGACTCTAACAAAGGCATCTGCTGAACGAATAGATCGATTTCGAACGATTGGTTAGGACATGTCCTGAGAATGGATGACGCGAGGACAGCGAGAAGGCTTTATCAGGAGAAGCCAGAGGGAGTTAGGTCTAGGGGAAGACCGAAAGCAGATGGATAGATAATGTAAAATAAGACTTGAGTAAAAACGGCATATCCATCAGGTGCGCAGCCAACAGGGATCACTGGGCAAAGGAGATTGAGCAGGCCAAGGACCGCTACATGCGTCTGTTGTGCCAATAATGAATGAATGAATAGATTTGTTTAATGAAGTATATATATTTTTTGTTGTAAATTTAGTAAAAATATGACTTAGATTAGTTAGTAAAATGACAACAAACCATGATAAATAAAATTTTAATATACAATTTTATTTAAAAGATGAATTTTATAGGTACAAGAAACGTATAACATACAAGGAACACAAATATACAAGAAAGCACATTTCACTTAATTAGACGAAAATAAGATAAAAGAAAAATTGTAATAAGCAAATGATTACATAGCGATTCATTAAAATCCGTGTTCATACCAATTAAATATTTTAAAACCTGAAATCAATAAATTTACAAGATTAAATGAAAACGTTTAACTGTCAGAGATAGGGATCATTATTGTGCCTCCCTGGAACACAATTAACAACTTTTCCAAAGGAGCATAATTAACTTCAAGAATCGAACAACGCAGTATCTTGTTAGGAAGTTTACCTGGTCTTGCTGTTTCTAAGTTAGCAGTAGTCATAGTGACCCATCCGCCAACTAAATTAGAAGTCAATTTCGATAAGTCTGCCAATGGTACATTCTTTTCCCCTCAGTAATTTATATTTTTTTAAATCATAATTTTTGTTGTTATAACTAAGTTACATAGTATTGGCAGTAAATAATAGTACTGTATACGATTATATTTATTATTTTTTTTAATTGGCGTTATAGACAAGTAGATCATTGGCCGAAAAATGTGGTCACTCAACCCTACGTTGCCTCGAACCATGGTTTCCAAGCTGCAGTAGTAGGACATAGTCATAACTCCATAGGCGATCCCTTTGGGGCCAATCTGGCAGTGTCCTTTCCACAGACTCACTCGGATTCGAGGACAGCGAAAAATTGGTCTACATTCATGGATTGTGGCTACTCAAAATTAGCATGCGTGGAACATTCCTTAACAGACCGTCTAATAATTTACAATAAAGTTCCTTCCTACATAATTTTTTATTTTGTAATTCTTTTTGAATAAAATAATAATAATTTATTCAGTAACTTATCATGGATTCAACAATATTTTACAATAAACAAAAGAATATTTTATAATAGACTGTGGTGCACTTAAATATAAAAAAAGCATTTTACAAAGCGCCATTAGAAAACAGTTAATTAGGAGTACGGAAGTTGGTAACCTTGAAATTGGTTTAACTGTTTCATCCCCAGATTCTGTGAAAAAATGTCTTTTACTCCTGAATTTAAAAAAAATAAAAATACTTTTGTATCTATTCCGTTTTTTCAAATGAAACCGTTTCATTAGCTAATAGATGGTATCCAGCCATTTATGTTTTTTTTTGTAGTGATTCAATGAAATAAATTATTCGAACTTACTTATAAGTGTTTAACTTAGATTTATGTGCAGATATTGAACTCGTATGTTTCATTGGAACGTTATAGAGCTCTTGTTTCTTTTGAGCTTACTCAATTTTTTTATTTCTTCTTTAAGCAATTTATAATTTTTGAACTTACTTTTTGGTGGGTTAGCTCCTAATTTAACTTCAGACTTTTGCTTATCAACTTCAAATCGTGTCTTCTTCATATCAATGATTTGTTGCTTTGGAAGGTTATTATCTCGTGACTAGAACGATTACCCAAAGATGATCTGGTGGGTACAAAGAATGTATCCCATGTATGTATGTTCCTGTCCTATCCTGCCCAATGTATATGTCCAATAAAACAAGGAATTACAGAAAACGAACCTCTTTTAAATAGTCACACCACATAACCAAAACAACGGTTTCCAGTAGGTACAAGAAAATAAGTAGGCAGAATAACAAGATTCGCCAGGGGATATCATAATATAAATAATATTATTTGAGCAAACATAAATAACTTATATTTTAAATACAAATAAATTATATATTTCTTCTTGCTATCTTATTATCAAGCTATTATTTCGTAGGAAGGACTGATTTAAAAAAAAAAAAAATCTTTTATACATTGACAATATGCCACAATAAAGGGCAATGGGTAATAGTGATAAATGTGCCCAATCATAAAAAAATAATCACAAAAACACTTCGTTAGCGGGCCAGGAAAAAAGTAATTACCAAGCGGAACAGGTTAGTGGAAACTATAACCATTAAGGAAATCGTCATTCCGAACTATGTTCAACATGCCGACGATTATCAAAGCAGTCCCTGTAATCTAAGTCTCAATTAATGGCTTTTACAACTGACGATTACAACAATGGTTGGTTAACGGTAAGTTTCATCTCTAGTAATTCAAAAAATAGTTATATATATTTGAGAAAAATCACCAAGTTTCTATTATTTATATACAATCAAATTATATATATTTGTTAAAAACAAGCCTATAAGGATAAACTATAAACAAATGAGACAAAGGCAACCTAACTTTCTAATCATTTCTAATTCAAAGGTGAATTTCTTTGAAAAAAGGAATTGCATAAAAAAAAATCTCATGTGTTGAACGATAGATATAAAACCATTAAAATACCACCATCTTACGACACATACTTCCAGATACCGCACAATTTTAACCACACCCTAAGAAATAATTAATATTAAATTATACATCGTAAAATTGAATGAAAATCATGCAGATATTGCTATTATAGCATATCACCGTATTCGGATATCCATTCGTCACCTTCAACTGAAATAAAATAATAATTCCGAATTTGACAACACCGAAGGCAATTTAATACAGCGCCGGGTCCATTCAGTGGATATGTCTCGCACTATTACAAATTTCAACTAGTTTCTAAACCCCTCGGTAGCTAATCAAACTTCACCAGACTGTGAAATGCCTGCCTAATATGGCAAACTTTACCACCGACTGAATCGAACAGCAGTCCAAGCTACCAAACACAAACTATAAAATTATGACTGGAATAAATTGTTTAAAATAGAATGCAAAAAAAAATCCCAAGTGATAGTATAGTAGCTCTTATGATCATTGTGATGAAAAATCTAATTTGTCTGAGAAGTCAAACAACAAAAGCACTATTAGCAACTAGAAGAAAATGAAACCTTCGATTTTTTCTGACTATATATTTTTTTCTATATTTAAATATATGATAATATTTTCTTTAGTATAATTTTTTATCATGCAACATGTAGGTTGTTAATACACTTCTTAATGATAATACATACAGGTAATACATTTCTTAATGAAGAGAAGGATGACTGGAGTGATCAGTCAGAAATAAGAAGGAAAAAATAAATAATAATATTTATTTTAACATTTGCCGACGTTTCGACCTGAAGTTCAGGCCTTCATCAGGACTCTTCCAATAGCTGACTGGAATAGAGTATTTTTTGCCTTTTTATTTCTGACTGATCACCCTAATCACCCTTATCTTCATTATTCACGGCAGTCAACCACTAACCCACAATTACATTTCAATGATTGTTTAAAAACTATAATAAAATTGTAAAAAAAAATTATAATAATCATAACTATTTAAAAAAAAAAAAAAAAATTTATTTGAAAATTCGCACGTGGAGAGCTGGCACTTATAGGTTCTTGAGCAAAACTTTATTTGCGAAAAAGGGTCCGGTACTGACCATAGGGCAATCCAGGATCGTAGAAAGAGTGAAATGTGTAAAGTGAAGTTGAGAAAATTTTAATAAATACAAGACTGCCCAAAATAAGGTAATCTTACTTTTATTGAGTATAGACGTGAATCGTTTAATGAATTACGTAGATAAAATATTTTTCGTTTTTTTATGTCGAGATTAAAATAATATGGAAAAATGTGTGAAATCTAATAGTCGATACACGCCCTCGAAGTCCTCATAAAGGACTGACAATTATTATTCTTTAAGCCACAGCTTGTGAATAAAGACAAAAAATGTGAGTGATTGCATATTAGACATAAATCTTCAATTAGATAAATTAGGTACTTCAGCTAGGCACAATTATCTATTATTACTCAATAAAGCACTTCAGAAATATAATGGCATGTAAGTTGTCAAATTAAACTTGAACAAAAAAAAACAAAAATCTATATGAATAGATAACTTTACCGATTTAGTTTGAGAAAATTATCATACAAATATACCGCCCTCCCCCCCCCATTTCCACCCCTACTCTTCTAGAAAAGGCCGCCTCAACGAAATTCGAACAGATTCTGTAGGTTTAGATTCCTGCTACCAAGACGTAAACATGAACTTAGTCCTTAGATAACTATTGAATTTATGTGAGTGGTAGAAAATATTGAAGATAAATCACTCAATACCTTCAACTATATAATTAACTATTTCTAAAAATTTCACTTTTATAAACTTGGCCCTTAACTCTAAATCTATAAGGCTTAAAATCCTTTATTTTATTAGCGATCATTTTATTTATTTGATTATTTGAAATACTCACAGCATGTATTTAAAATCTAACTTTTTTTTTTGTTCTATTGTAGTGAAGGTTACCAGGATTATCGCTGCGAAGATTAATTTTTACATCCATTTATCCATATTTCAAATGGACACGGATCAATATTTCGGAACATGGGGGTAGAAGGAAGAACATCCGAAACAATAAAAATAAAAAAAATAAATAAAAAAAATTAGTTGAGTCTAAATAATAATTAAATATAAGATTTCATTAATAATAATCAGTAAGAAGTATAAAACAGCTCTAAATATAGTTTATATTTTAAATAGTTAAATGAAATAATTGCAAGTAATAAAGAGTTGAGATTAAAGTTAATAAATAAAAAAAACTCTAATAGAAATATACATGATTGAAACAGGAAATGTTATAGGTCAATTAAGGTGATTTAAAATTTACTATTTGAATTTTTATTTATTTTTGCATGGGAAAAGAAAATATTTTATAGCAGAAAGAAGAAGTACCAGTTAAATATAATTTTTAAAAAAATCAACAAAGCAACTACTTATAACACATAAATTTAAAAATAGGTGGTTATGGTTGAAGACAATTTTGAAAAATAAACATCGTACATAGAGTTGAGCCCAGACAATTATATGACTCTAATTTATCTTAAATTAAAGACCATAATAAAGAATCCGTTTGAATCACTTTTGAAATTGGGAGGGGGAGAGGTAGAGGGAGAGAGAGGATTTATAGCTTTATAGCTCTCTCTAGCCTGTCATCAACATAGAACTCCTTTACTCTGCTACTGTTCTCGAAATTTGAGGGAATTCATGTTGCTATGCACTTGGACATTCACTTCATCGATCACAAACAAGCGTTCCATAACGTCAGCAAGAAAATTTTAGTTCATATATTTTATAAAAATAAAGTGCCGTGTAAGCTGGTAAAAATGATATAGTTAGTTGGCTTAAAATAATGTATACGAAAAGGTTATGGTAGGAAAAACTATAGGTGAAAAATTGGCCGGCGTACAAGTAAATGCACTGCTACATTGTTTGAAATTGCACTGCAAGAAGCTAAAAAAGAGGCAGTCAAAACTGGTACCATAATAAATAGTATATGTATATGCTGATGATCTGGTGATAATTACGAGAAATGGTTCTTCCTTAAAAGAAACACTACAAATTATACTTGAGCAAGAAAGCAAACGTTACAATAAGCAAAGCGTTGGTCTCATATTTAACGAGGGAAAAAAGTGTAGGAGAACGTCGGTGGACCGTAGCAGGAGACCAACTGGCGATTTCATATACAATTTTAATTGTGAAGGGCGTCAAGAACTTTACATAACTTGGCTCATCGTTAAATAACGCAAACAAGACTTCGGCGATTGGAAGAAGAATTATGCAAGAATTGTGCGTATTTTGCAAATCTAAAATTGTTCCGCTCACAACTGTTGTCCAGGAAGAGCAAAATGAGATAGTACAAAACTCTGATTAGGCCCGTAGTTATCTATGGCGCAGAGCCTTGGTGCATCTCTGCTGCAGATAAAAATAAATTAAAGAATTTAAAAGAAAGATAGTAAAGGAGAACCTATGAAGCAAATTTCTTCGGCGGAATCAAGAAAATAAAGACGAACGACGAAATACAGAAAAGTTTAAAGAATAAAGATATCGAGAACTTTATAAAAGCGTACAGATTAATATGGGCTGGACACTTTAAACGGATGAATAGAGGAAATAATGACTATAGAGGAAAATATTGAAGGTTGTAATTGATGCCAAGAGAAGAGGAAGACCACGTAGCCGTTGGGAGGATGAAGTTGGGAGTACTAGGAGTCATGAATTGAAGACAGACTGCCTGGGATAAAAGAGGCTGGGCAACTCCAGTTAGGCAGGCCAAGGGTCACACCGATCTGCAGCGCCGTGGAGTAAGTAATGTTGATGACACCACGTTGCTGAAGGAGCTCCAACTTGAATGCAGCTTTCTTTAACTGTCACTACTGTTTTAATTAGTTATTACTCACTACTTACTGTATTACTTAGCTATGAGCGACAAAACATACCCACCGTTAAATGTTAAATTCGCACACACTAGCCTTTCAAAAACTTTCTTCAAAACTGACTAATATTGTTTTAAATCACAATTTGGTCTAAATAAACTATGACCAGGTTTTTAAGGTCTGTACATAATACTTGGCCAATCAACCTCTGTCATGTTGTGGCATTATGCAATCCAAAGGGCATACCAACGAAGTGGTCCATTGTCCTTTCCCTGCAAAATTGAAAGTCGTTTTCTCCTGACTGGATTGCTCCACAGTTATCTGCCAGTATGCAGCTTCATGTCGATTCAGCTTAAATATATGCCATCTTTCAGTCGATAAAAGATATGCTAAATATAAGGAAGTGAATAAATGTCCCGCTCAGTAACCGATTTCAGCTTACAGTCCACACAGAATCTATTTCCACCTTCTAAACCAACAATACCGGCGAACTCGAATGACTCTTCGACGGCACCACTATTCGCACAGAAAGCATTCCGTCCAGTTCTTGATCTAATTGGCGTTGAACAAACAGGATAATAACCATGCTTTATGAACGGATTCACGAGAAGATTGGCAAAACCTGGAAGAGGCCTTTCCTAAATATTTGGCTTAATTTAGGATTAAAAAACTATTTTTTTCTGTTATTTGAACTATTGGTTTTGTTAGTCTTCAAATTAAAACTCTAAACTTATATTATTTCAAAACCGAGGAAAAGGTCATATTATATTATTATTTATGAATAAATGCTTTTATTTAGGCAACTATTGATTTAGGTCTAGCTCCAAGGAGCCGCATTAATAACTTGTGGATAAAGAGCCGCAGCATAACGCACCATCTTAACCCTATCCTAGTTTCCAGACATAGAGCATGCTAAATTAGCAACCTCAGCAAGTTTATTGGCATGCTCCTGAAAAACCAATGCGTATTCTTCGATATCTTTCTCATTACCCGCTCTTGCAGTTTCAATTAAAACCAGTAAAGGGACACTGGTTTCAACAAAGCTATCAGAAACATGGTCGACAACTGCCTTCCTCAACTCTCTTCTTAAATATCTCGTCTTGCGACACATATGACCAATGGCTCTCTCCAAACCTTCGCTTTGTTCTTTAATACTCATATTAGCCACATATTCCGACAGAAGATCTTGGACCCTTCTCTCGTCTCTTGTGCAAGAAGAGTCGGCCATAAGCGCTGCACCACTTATAATGCTTCCTAACATTTCTTCAAGAGATGGTCTTGTAGCTACCTCAGAATAAGCCAAAGGTTCCATTACCATACGCTCATCAAAATCATCCAGATCAGCTTCAAGCTTCGTGTAAGGATTGGTAGTGATCGATGGACCTTTACCCTGAGCTACATCACTGATTGTATCGACAGCTTTACAAACTTGTTTAAAAACATATTCACGATTTGCCTTAGCAGCAGCAAGTTCAGGATGTCTGACATATAACTTTGACGCAGTCAGTAGCATGGTGCTATGTTTCTTCAAAACAGCACGTGCTTCAGCTAAGTCGTCATATTACCGTTACCAAGCTGCCGTTTGGTAACGGTAATATCCGTAACGCGGGATATTTCAAACGAAAACAATTCCTTTGCCAACCAGCTTTATTTATGTAAATAATTCAGTTACAAGCAGTATTATAATGACTGGAGAAATAGTTCAGAGGTAAGGAATAAAAAAAAAAAAAAAAAGATAAAAAAAGTTCGAAAGGCGGATCAAATATTCATATGACAAAAAATGGGAGTGGGCAGAGTCCAATCAAACATGGACGGGCCAAACTGATAACAGCATATTGTCAATCCCTCAGGCGACTAACGATATGGCTGATTGAAATAGTCGCCTGCGCCTAGTCGCGTGTCAAATGAATCTTCCACCGATAACTCCAAACCAATCCAGATCATGAAGCGCAAACGATAATGGAGATAAAAATACAAAAATAAATTATTACGTTCCTTTAAAGTCTATATTGAACTGTTATTGTATATTGAGATACTGCGTGAAAACTAAAAAAAAATCAAATTAAGATTATACCTTTATTTTTAAAATTCGATTAGAGACTGGCCTAACCCCAATTTATTTAATACATAGTAGATAAAAATGTGTATGCTATATTATAAAATTGTAGTGAGTTTAGAAACGAGGTATGATGTGACATTAAAATTATTTTAAAAGGAATTTGAAAAATAAAAATAATTTTAATTGGAAAACATAATGTGTGTGTGGGTATGTGTGATTGTTTGCCATTTCTTGAATAAGACTAATATTATTTTTATATTTCATGAAAATTTTAAAAAACAGGTATAACATTTCTGTTATAAAGTATGATATAAAACGAGATTATCGGTTTAGTTTTTTTATGTCTGGAACCAAATAAACATATTCGTATCCGGCATTACAAGCGAATTCGGAACACTCAACGCTCAATTTTTTTCGTGAAGGCAGAAACGACGACATACATATTTTTTTTTACAACATAATACAATTTTTCTTTGTCTCTAATAAATAATAAGACGAAATTATGACGTTATTCACAATTTTGGGGCTTATGAATAAACGATTTAAAATCAAAATGATAATGATTTGAAGTTCTATGTCCGTCATGCAAAAAAAAAAAAAAAAAAAATTGATGAAAACAGTTATTAAGGGAAAAAGAGGTCGTGGTGGCCGAGAGTGTTGGAGCGTTGCCCGGTCTAGCATCCTCGTGCCTAGCAACGCCGCGGTTCGAATCCGGCCTGGGAGTGGTCGTATTACACCAGTGTTCAATACGGGAGAGGTGACTTTGTAGGTTAAAGGATGATGTTTCGGGATCTGAATTGAAAGATAGGATGGCTGTGTCATCAGCGGTAAAGAGAATGTAAAGGATAGGACGCAAGACGCTCCCTTGAGGAAATCCCGCCTCAATGAAATAACAGTTGGAAAATTCAGTTCCACAGCGGACTTGAAAGGAGCGGTCAGAGAGATAGGATCGGAGTACTAATTACTTAAATTGAATATTTCTTTAGTTATCGCTTCCTATTTAACAAAAAAAAAAAAAAGACTTAAAACACACAAAACTTGGATTTTCAACTTTTCTGCTGAAAATTGGCCCATTGTTTATATGAACTTTTTTGTAGGTTTTGAGGACTGCTATCACTCCTATCAAAGTTCCCCTCTACTTTCAGGGCACCCTGTATATTGAAATATAGAGACCAATTCAACCTCATATTTTTCATAGAGTCAATTAAACATACCCAGTCATACAGTACATAGCAATTAACTAGGAGTCAGCAAATAATAGCAAAATTACTATAAGAATATCCTCGATATAAATAGAAGGAATTGGCATAATGAATTAAACAACAGTCATAAGATATTACATTATTACCAACAAATCTGTTTTTTTTTTGTGTGTTTTTTTGTATGTATGTGTTCTTTTTATTTATTTATTTTTAGGTTATTTTATTCCAATTTATTGTATATACATTTTCTTTCTGTATAATTTATTTTATTTATTGTACATAGAATGTGAATGTGATCTCTGAACACTATTATAAATGTCCTTGAGACAGATTGTAATATTTCTCAATACATAAGTTATAAACACAATATTTTTTATGTTAAAGTTTTTATGACCACCAGCGTATATTTATCAATGGTTAAACTTCTAAAAAGTGGCTATTATAAACAGCAATAGGTAGTTGTAGATATCAATGATAACTGACAATATTTAATAAATCAAAATATTTTTTTTAAGTTTAAAAATATGCAAATGAATATGAAAATCGTTAAACAAAAATTCTTAATTAATAATTAATAAAACATAATATGTTATAATTATTAAAAAATTAAATAATATAAATTTAATAAGTAGTAATAAAAGATATATTTCAATGATTTTAACTAAAAACAATGCTTTTCAATCACTTCCCATGCGATCAGTCTCGATACAATTGTAGATAGATGTCGCAGTAAATATGTATATAAATTATTAGTTCGATTACTTTACTTACTTAATTACTAATTACTTTTATTTCACTTGACTATCATTTATTTTTCTTAATTGATCAAAGTTAAAAGATAACTAATACTTTTTTTATTATTAATATTTGTTTATTCTGATAAACCTCTGAGACTCCAAAGCCCACTTATTTGTCTTAGTAGATTATTCTGAAGGAACTGTCCCAGAAAGAATAAAGTATTATTATTATAACTTTCAGAATTTCGCACTTCCTCAGCCATTGCTGGGAATATTCACCTACCCCGACTCAATGAGTCAGAGGTTAGGCTCTGTTTAGGAAATATTTAAAAATTGTATACTGACGTACCTTAGAAGCACAGGATATAATCAAGAAGTCCCAATTCTTTACAAGTTACAATTAAAGTATTTATATTTTTTTTTTTGTTCCTCGGCTTTATGCCGGATGAACCGGACCGAGGTGAAGAGTATTTGATAGAAATATTAAAATTTTTACTAACAATCCAGAAGAATCCTAGCATTAGCGCTTTCTGGATTTGCTGAAATCCCCAACTTATTCCGAGTACTCTAATCGATTTCAGAATCTCCTAAGAAATCAGACCTTTGTTGGATACAATAATGGTTATTATTGCTTTTACTTCCACCAGCCGGTATAATTGCCTTAATTCATAGCAATTCTCTTGGCCCTTACGAATGTTTTCACTCAATATTTTAGCTACATAGCAGGAACTCTCTCTAACTTAGATGGTAATGGCTTTCTTTATTTTTATAACAATACGAAAAAATCCAGGGCGAAATCGAAACGAATCGGTAAGCTTACCATAATAAAGACACAGAAAGGTAAGTTTATAATATAAGACTTAACATTACATTTGCCCCACAAAAATTTGCCTTTTCAAATAATCCTATTTAGTATTTTTTTTTTTTGCTTTACTTCCAGTTTTAATTGACATAGCAATGAAAAATTAATCAAATATAGGAGTTTCATCAAAACAAAATGGCCACCACTCCACTTTATCCACACTATCTCTATCAAACCCAGGTGTAGCCTGAGGGAGAACTCATGCAGAACTAACTTGAAAATAGTGTTTTTTGTTGTTGTTTTTTCCTTAACCTCTATACTATTTACAAATATAAACATACATTAAAATATGACATATTTTAAAGCATTTTGTAGATAATATCGGATGGTAAGGAAACAAAAAAAAAACACTAGTTTCAACTTAGTGCCATATGAGGTTTGCCATGGACATGCTATAGCCGAGAGCATCTGTCTTTTGACAGGTTATGTTAGATCACATTTTTAATCCAAAAAAACAAAATTGGTTTGAAGATATAAATAAATTTATTTACTGAAATAACCAAATGTAAAATCTTTTAACAATAAGGTACACTCAGACATAACATAAAAAAATATAATTTGAAATATTTATGGAAGTCTTTAAAAATATTCTCTGATATTAATAATATGGCCGTGTCATATGTCAACATTTTAATTTCACCATCAGCAAATAAATAGATATATTTATTTCACCTTATAAAAAAAAAAAATTATAAAAGTGCACATATTTCATTTATTTTGTTTGTGTTCATAATATGCAAAATAAGCAATGTTTTGAATCATTTGTTGAATTTAATCATGTATTAGATTTCAGTCCCCATACAGTCCACACCAATCCTCACAGTAACCAATGGAATATCAATCAATTATATGTCGGTGGATAATATTTGGCTCACACCAAATTACCGTGATCAAACAACACCTTAGAGATAAGATTAGGAAATATTCCAATTTCAGCGTTCATGTTCCAACAGAGGACAAGAAGATAAGGATAACTATCATGACCTGACAGAAAAATCAGTAGATCAGTGCCCGAGAAGTTGTTGCCGGAGATCTTCAAAAAAAAGTTCGAAAGGCGGATCAAATATTCATATGACAAAAAATGGGAGTGGGCAGAGTCCAATCAAACATGGACGGGCCAAACTGATAACAGCATATTGTCAATCCCTCAGGCGACTAACGATATGGCTGATTGAAATAGTCGCCTGCGCCTAGTCGCGTGTCAAATGAATCTTCCACCGATAACTCCAAACCAATCCAGATCATGAAGCGCAAACGATAATGGAGATAAAAATACAAAAATAAATTATTACGTTCCTTTAAAGTCTATATTGAACTGTTATTGTATATTGAGATACTGCGTGAAAACTAAAAAAAAATCAAATTAAGATTATACCTTTATTTTTAAAATTCGATTAGAGACTGGCCTAACCCCAATTTATTTAATACATAGTAGATAAAAATGTGTATGCTATATTATAAAATTGTAGTGAGTTTAGAAACGAGGTATGATGTGACATTAAAATTATTTTAAAAGGAATTTGAAAAATAAAAATAATTTTAATTGGAAAACATAATGTGTGTGTGGGTATGTGTGATTGTTTGCCATTTCTTGAATAAGACTAATATGTATTTTTATATTTCATGAAAATTTTAAAAAACAGGTATAACATT